GCAGAAACTTAACCATAAAAATGTATATTATAATAACTGAGAGCAGAGTAGATCATTAACACTCTCAGGCTCAAATTACTTGCAAAGACGAGCTAAGGAGCACTGAGCTATTGCAAATCTGCAACATCTGCCTGGAGAGGCTTAAAAGCAAATGTAAACATTTAGAAAATATTGATTTTTTACGTATCCTCATGTTAATATTAACTTATGTATATTTGTGATTTTATTCCATGTTTGTGGTGTTTTTTTCATCTGTTTTCCTTTTCTATGTTGTGGTTAATTAGTTTCTTTTTTATTAAATCTATTTATTATTCCCTTTTAATTTAATATTTTTTTATTTTAGCTTAAAAACTTGGGATTGTAGTTTTATGCTTGTTGTGTCTCCTCCTCGTCTCCATCAGTTTGTTTCCTTCTGCTTTTATCTGCTGCAGAAAACTTGATGCAGATCAAGAAACGGGCCTTCGGTCGGGTTGGGACAGAAATAGAAAGCCGGGTTCCCCGCAGGGTGCGGTCGGCCGATTGGACCATCTGTGGTTTGGACCTTTGTTGCATTGGAATAAAGAGATTTATTAAAGGGATCAAAGCTAATCTGGATCAGCTTCAAGCTCAGAACAGAGACGAGTCAGCAGGAGAAACAGAAAAGAAGAAATAAAAGGTGTGAAATAAATTATTAATCTCCAAAAAGCAACAAAAGATAAATTAAATATATTTAAGTTTAAACCATCACTAACTAAAAACGAAACAAAGTCCTCCTCAAATAAAGTTTAATCCTGAATAAATTAAAGAATCCAATTGATTATTATTGCATTTAAAATAAAATCTGACTCATTTAAATGCAATAATAATCAGTTTATTTATCTGACTCAAAAACATCTGAAAAACATTTCAGATCCTGGAACAATCTGTGCCAAATGTCAAGCAGATTCTGAAGTTGGGTGTTTAGTAAACTCGCCTCATTAATCTTTGTTGCTGAAAACAAAGCAGCAGAACTTCCTGCCTGGTTCTTCATGTTGGCAGCTGCAGTCCAGCCTGGATTCCTCACATCCCAGCTGCATGAATCACTTCCCCGCCCTCAGAGCTGGAAACCAGCAGGTCACACCTGAAACAGGTAACCACAGTCACCTGCTGAGTCAGTCCACCGGTCCGCAGCAGAGCGGGAAGACTCCACCTGCAGACATTCACTTCAGACTGCCGCCATCTGCTGGCGAAAACCTGTCACTACACCCAAATTCTTCTGAGAGGAATGAAACTCCGGACTCAGGCAATAGAATCGTTCAGACAGAACGTTCACCTCACTGATCAACAAGTGAAGATAGAAAAACTGTAATGCAGAAGAACATCATCCAGAGGTTGAGAACTCTGTGGTTCTGATCTCCGTTTGGGCCGACTGCTTGAGATAAAAATCAATCTGGACACCAGAAAAAGTTTTAAAAATCTCCCAAAAGCTCCTGAATAAAACTTTGAGCTGATTGGTTTGCTCTACTGTGTCAGAACCAGGCTGAGGTCAACCTACTGAACTCAGTGGACCCGATCTGCTCTTCACTGGTGTCAGAATCACTGACCTTTGACCTTTCCTTTATCAGCCAGATGCTTCTGTTCCTCAGAGATCAAACAGTCGGGTTTCATCACCAGTCTGCTGGCAGACTGAGTCCCGGCGTTGAGGAGAAAACTGGGTCACGACCCAGAAACAGAGAGCTGAAGTGGTTCTGGTTCAGACTGTGGGTCAGAACCGCGGGTCAGAACCAAATTATAGATGCATTCTCCAGGGGAGAAACATCTAGATAAGATCTAGATAAGTTCCTCCTTACATCTAAATGCATTTTTAACTCAATAAATTAAATTAGTCTACATCAATTTATGTATTTATTGTTGAGTAAATATCATATTTGTCATATTTATTTGCATTTACTGTTATTTTAAGCTAAATATTAAAGTACTGAATTAATGCGAGTGCTGCTATGTTGGTTCTGGTTCTACTCATGACTCCTGTTTTATTTTGATAATCTGTTTCTTGTGTTGTGATTACTTCCTGTTTTACTTTTAAATCCTGTTTTGTCCAGTTTCTGTATCAACACTTCCTCAACTGACCCTTGACCTCTGCTGCCCTCCTACCAGTGGAAGCCACTCACCTGTTTCCAGTCCAGTAATCATCCTCCCATTGCCATCCATTCTGACAGTTTTTAAACTATTTTATTTTTCATTTAGTCATTTAAAAAAAATCAAAGTCTTAAAAGAGACAAATATAAAACAAAACACAATTAAAAAATATATTTTTTTTACTTTTGTTGTTTCACTTGTCACTTTATTAACCGAAATTGTCAGATTGTAGAGCAGTAAAAACAGGAAGTGGTTATGGCGATCCGGTGAATTAAAAAATAAAACAACACCTGACCTCAGTCTGAGCTTCAAATCATTTTACCAGAAGAGACTCTTTAACTCGTCTTTTGTATTACCATTACTGGTTTATAAAAAATACTACAAGAAATAAAACAACAATGTTTAGCCTGGTGGCCCGCCAGGCTTAAAATACACAAACATCTGGGAAACCAACAGCAATCATCACCTGGAGGAGGAATAAAACTCAGTCAGAGCAACTAGCCTGTGATTCAGCTCCTGTCTTTTTATGATGTTTTTCTGCTGAAGTTTGACCTGGACAGTTCAGTAACGTGATAAATCCCTCAGTACCTGAACAGTTGGACATTTTTCTGGAGGATGACTTCCTGTGGGCTAAAGAGCAGAGCGACCAGTAAGGCAGGAAATGGAGCTAATGACGGAGCGGTGGACCTGATAATCAAATCAGTGTTTCAGACGTGTCTAATGGAGCCACCGCTCACGTCACTGCGGGCCGTTTCCCGTCACCTGCCTCTTCCACGACAGCTTCAGGAGGAGAGACGGCTGCTGCATAATGGATCTGTCCCAGATGTCCACTGATTGACCGGAAGGGACAGAAAGGGGCAAAAAAATATCCAAAAGCTGCAGCCAACAGAGATATAATAATGTTAGATAATGTTCAGATAATGTTCTGTCTGAATGATTCTCCTGTGTGAATCAACAAACAATCAGGCAAAATAAAAAAAATAAATAAAACCTCCATGTTAAAACAGCTGGCGTCCAGAGAGACATTCAGGAATCAGTTCAAAACAAGGAATCAGTTTAAAACAAAGAATCAGTTCAACACAAGGAATCAGTTCAAAACAAGGAATCAGTTCAAAACAAGGAATCAGTTCAAAACAAGGAATCAGTTCAACACAAGGAATCAGTTCAACACAAGGAATCAGTTCAAAACAAGGAATCAGTTCAACACAAGGAATCAGTTCAACACAAGGAATCAGTTCAAAACAAGGAATCAGTTCAACACAAGGAATCAGTTCAACACAAGGAATCAGTTTAAAACAAGGAATCAGTTCAACACAAGGAATCAGTTCAAAACAAGGAATCAGTTCAAAACAAGGAATCAGTTCAACACAAGGAATCAGTTCAAAACAAGGAATCAGTTCAACACAAGGAATCAGTTCAACACAAGGAATCAGTTCAAAACAAGGAATCAGTTCAACACAAGGAATCAGTTCAACACAAGGAATCAGTTTAAAACAAGGAATCAGTTCAACACAAGGAATCAGTTCAAAACAAGGAATCAGTTCAAAACAAGGAATCAGTTCAACACAAGGAATCAGTTCAACACAAGGAATCAGTTCAAAACAAGGAATCAGTTCAAAACAAGGAATCAGTTCAACACAAGGAATCAGTTCAAAACAAGGAATCAGTTCAACACAAGGAATCAGTTCAACACAAGGAATCAGTTCAAAACAAGGAATCAGTTCAACACAAGGAATCAGTTTAAAACAAGGAATCAGTTCAACACAAGGAATCAGTTCAAAACAAGGAATCAGTTCAAAACAAGGAATCAGTTCAACACAAGGAATCAGTTCAAAACAAGGAATCAGTTCAACACAAGGAATCAGTTCAACACAAGGAATCAGTTCAAAACAAGGAATCAGTTCAAAACAAGGAATCAGTTCAAAACAAGGAATCAGTTCAAAACAAGGAATCAGTTCAACACAAGGAATCAGTTCAAAACAAGGAATCAGTTCAACACAAGGAATCAGTTCAAAACAAGGAATCAGTTCAACACAAGGAATCAGTTCAACACAAGGAATCAGTTCAAAACAAGGAATCAGTTCAACACAAGGAATCAGTTCAACACAAGGAATCAGTTCAACACAAGGAATCAGTTCAAAACAAGGAATCAGTTCAACACAAGGAATCAGTTCAAAACAAGGAATCAGTTCAACACAAGGAATCAGTTCAACACAAGGAATCAGTTCAAAACAAGGAATCAGCTCAAAACAAGGAATCAGTTCAAATCAAGGAATCAGTTCAACACAAGGAATCAGTTCAAAACAAGGAATCAGCTCAAAACAAGGAATCAGTTCAAATCAAGGAATCAGTTCAAATCAAGAAATCATTTTAAATCAAGGAATCTGTTCAGTCAGGAATCTGTTCAGTTAGTAATCTGTTCAGTGTGAATCTGTTCAGTGTGAATCTGTTCAGTCAGGAATCTGTTCAGTTAGGAATCTGTTCAGTGTGAATCTGTTCAGTCAGGAATCTGTTCAGTTAGGAATCTGTTCAGTGTGAATCTGTTCAGTGTGAATCTGTTCAGTTAGGAATCTGTTCAGTGTGAATCTGTTCAGTGTGAATCTGTTCAGTCAGGAATCTGTTCAGTTAGGAATCTGTTCAGTGTGAATCTGTTCAGTCAGGAATCTGTTCAGTTAGGAATCTGTTCAGTGTGAATCTGTTCAGTGGGAGGAAACGAGCAGAAAACCTGAACTGAAACCTAAAATCTCCATCAGAAACCACAAAGACCCTGATCCAGAAAACTTGAAACTATCAGGTAATTCTGAGTCTTAATTCATTTGGACTGATCAGCCAATCTGGGTGAAGTGACTCTGCAGCGCCCCCTCTGCTGATGACGCGCTCCTGCAACAACATCCATCACTTTCCTCCTCCTTCTCCTCCTCCTCCTCCTCACTGGTACCCAGAGCGACAAACCTCAGTGCATCAGTGTTTGATTGTAGCCCGAGTCGTGTAGCTGTTCCGCTGCTCCTGAACTGGTGAACCGAACCGAGCCGAACCGAACCGCGAGGAACCCGGCCAACGCACCGGGATGGACCCCGAGCTGGAGTCGCGTTTCCAGCTGTGAGGAGCGGAGCAGGAGCCTGGAAAGCCCCGGAGGAAAGCGGAGGAGGTGGCGGGGGGGATCCGGGGGACAGAGCCATGGCGACTGGCGGCGGCGGCGGCGGCGGCGGGGCGGCGCGCAGGCGGAGAGCCGGGATCCCCGGGTTCTGCTGGAAGACCTGCTGCTTCCCGCTGCTGCTCTGCGTGGTGTCGGTGTGCGGGGAGGAGAAGACCTTCATAGTGGAGGTAAGAGGAGGTTTTCTAAAAGCAGAGAATAACATCGGGAACTGAACCGGATCCGGACTTAGAACCGGTTCAGCGCTTTGTTTTCTGACGCTTCAGCGTCAGTAACAACGTCACAAACTAACAGCTTAATTGCTCATTAAGCCTGATTGTTTCCGCCTGTTTGGCAGCTTTAATAAGTCCTTCAGATCCTCTGTTCCCCCTCCCCCGCCTGCTGCTGCTGCTTCTCTACATTCAGACACATGTTGACCAGAAACAGGCAGGTTAAAGTGAGGCTCCAGTCCAAATATAGCCTCTCCTCCATAATTCATGGATCTGCTGAGTCGGGGTGAATGGGGGAAACTGATGGAGATGTTGGTGATCGGTGCTGCTGCTGCTGTTTTCCTGTTTTGTTGCTGGAGATGCTTTGATTGAGACAAAGAGAGCGCCTGTGGCAGTGGAACAAAGGAGGAGATGTTTTCTCCACAGCAGTCTGAGACCAGAGGAGGAGACAGACTCAGCTCCACCGTGAAAACATCACAAAGTTAGAGAGGCGGCAAACTGGAGGGAAAAACTCCTGAGGGATGCTGGAGCAGAAAATCCAAGTCCATCTGTGTTTGTGTGTGTGTGTGTGTGTGTGTGTGTGTGTGTGTGTGTGTGTGTGTGTGTGTGTGTGTGTGTGTGTGTGTGTGTGTGTGTGTGTGGGTCCCATAAGGGTCTCATCTGGGCTGGAGAGTGGCCCCAGCTCCATGGAGAACATGAAGCTCTGCTCTCCAGTGGTTCAGACTCAGAATGTTTTCACTCTGACTCGGTTCACAACATTTGCTTCATTTTCAGCTGCTGCGGTTCTGAGTCAAACAACACAAACAGTTAAATAAATGTTCCCCTCCTCACCTGAGGGGGCGCTGCACCAAGAAAAACTGAAGGAGACAATTTAAAAACCTGCTAAGTCCCTGAGCGCAACTTCCTTCACCAAAGGGAGACAAAAATGTATCGTCAGATTGAGGAGAGCATCGATTTATCAGAGATTTCCTTCATCTAAGGAGATCGGAGATCGGTTGATACGTCAATGTGAGGCCGATCGTTTCCCCGATCTTATTGACCTCGGTAAACTTCTGACCGACCAGGTCATGTCGGCACTTTTGCAGTTATCAGAAGTTGCACCACTGTTACCAGCTCAGCTACTTTCTTGCTATATTTAGCAACGTTTCACTCCAAAAAATCAGAAGCGGCAGGTCAGGCTTTTTAAAGATAAGTAATTGATCTGACTGGAAATTACAATCAGCTTTGAGTTGGAGGATTTCTCTTTAGTTTTGGCTAAAGACCACGAGTCATTTGTCCCGCTAGCGCTCCGCTAACATGTTGGTTCTGGTTGTATTTGTCCAGAATTTTAGCTTAACTTATTTAAACCCCGTTGAGATCTGGATCTCATTTTCAAGAGGGACCTGGACCTTATGTATTTCAGCTCAGATTTACTTAGTTTAGCTTATTTTAGCTAAGTTTGCAGTAGTTTCACTTAATTTAAGGCTTAGCGTTGCTTCATTTGGGCTGTCTTAGCTCAGATTAGCTGTTCTTGTTGAACTTAGGCCTGTTGATCTTAGTTTAGCTTCTTTTCTCTTAGCTTAGCACAACACCTGCAGGTTCCTCTGGAGGATTTTATTAATGATTGCTACAGGAAACATCCTGTGTTTCTGTGATGGTGACGTGGCAGCAGGAAATGATGCCTAACTGCAGATATCTGCTCCATAATGGAGGTAATGAGCTGAAAGTGTGTCTGAGCCCTACAGTCGGTGTCAGGCGGGTTTCCTCCCTCCCAGGAGGGGAGACTTCTGGGAAAGATGATGGTTGTAAACACAGCATTAGAGCTGAAGATGGACTGGAAGTGGGCTGCTGCTGCAGCAGCTGCAGCGGCTGCTGTTGCTGCAGCTGACTGGGTGGGGGGTGTGAATTCAAGGCCGCTGTCCTGATTAGTCATTGTTAGAGATAAATACACACACTTGTAACGTTTTCAGATTGACAGCCTTGTTGTGGCGCTTCCTCTCTCCAGCCGCAGCTGGAACCAACAGGAGCTGTCACTGCGGGTTTCATGATGGTTTTGTTCTGTCTGAAACCAGCTGAACCCGGACAGAGGAGACGGTCGATATGGAAACACGAGGAAGCGTCTTAAAACGTCACATCCGATGTTTTCAACTAACACGTTGACATGTCAGCAGAAAAGAAATGATTATAAAAATGAAAACATGGAGCAACAGTTCAGTTCACAGCAGCAATTTGAGTCGTGGTCCACAAAACCAGCTTTTATATTCCATTCACCCCGATCGGCAAGCTATCAGCCTAGCTAAACATTTAGCTATAAGCTAAACATTCAGCTTTAAGCTAAACATTCAGCTATAAGCTAAACATTCAGCTTTAAGCTAAACATTCAGCTATAAGCTAAACATTCAGCTCGCATCCTAAATATTAGTTAGCATGATAAGTATTTGCCTAGCTAACTAAATATCTAGATCTGCTCTAAATGCTTAGTTTGGAAAATAAATATTTAATTTCAAAATTAAATGTTGAGTTAAGCAAATAAACATTTAGTTTCCTTATTTACATTAACAAGATTTTCATCCACTAGTTTTTAATTTGCTACGTCTCTGTCTTAGCTTGCAGATGAAAGCTATGTTAGCTAAGCTAACGTTGCTAGTTCAGCAGTAAATATCACCGATGTTTTTCTATGTATTACACAGAGGTGGGTAGACTACTCAGACATTATGACTGAGTTGTAATGTTCTTAAGTTTATCGGTTAGATAGGAATGAGGCGAGAGCTAGTTTTAAGTTTGTGGCTTGCTTCTTGTTTTTCTAAGTAGATGGTCAGAGTTGTCCATAGTTTTATTGATTTAATGTAAAATATTGGTTCCACGGAACAGAACCAGTTTCCATTGCCAGGTTGTTGAGTCTTTTTAGGTTCCAGGACAGCTAGCTAGGCCCTTTCTTCACCGCTAGCGCTCGCTACCTCACGTTTACAAGCAGGACTGGAGTGATGATGGAACGACTCCAGACTCAACGAGTCTGAGAGCAGCCGCCGCATGTTAGATTCCTGCATTTAATTTTGGGCTGAAATTAAAAATTTATTCTTCACAGAACCTCAAATTAGACCCAAACATACACACACCTACACACACACACCTACACACACACACACACTACACACACACACACCTACACACACACACACACCTACACACACACACACCTACACACACACACATACACCTACACACACACACACACCTACACACACACACACCTACACACACACACACATACACCTACACACACATACACACCTACACGCACACACCTACACACACACACCTACACACACACACACACCTACACACACACACACCTACACACACACACACACCTACACACACACACACCTACACACACACACACATACACCTACACACACACACACACCTACACACACACACACCTACACACACACACACATACACCTACACACACATACACACCTACACGCACACACCTACACACACCTACACACACATACACACACATACACCTACACACACACACATGCACACGCATACACCTACACACACATACACCTACACACGCACACACACACACACACACACACACACACACACACACACACACACACAGTGCTTTGACCTGCTGTCAAAACACACAGATAGATTACTAGCAGTGGATACTCTGCAGACAATCGACATTCTTCAACTGTTATCAATTAATTAGATTTCTGCAGACGCGATCAGTGTGTTCTTAGTCCTGAAGCTGCAGAGTCACAGAGGGAAGCATGATGATGTAGGAGCAATCCTGAAGGACAGCAGGACAGGAGGACAATAAGAGGTTTCAGGACAAAAAGTCACTCTTGTAAACATCAGAAACATTAGCGCTAACATGCTAACTACAAACAAAACACTAAAAAAATGGATGCAGCACTCCTTAGAGAAGACTGCTGAGTTTCACATCAGAACTGGATCAGGAAGAGTCTGCTGAAGCCAGAGAACCAAAACTGAACTGAAGTTAGGACAAGTCACCAACGGAAACCTAAAGCTAAGGTAAACAAAGCAAAATCAACTAACCAATAATAAATGTATATACACTAAACGAATGTTAAATTAGGTCAAGACAGTCTGAAAAACTAATAAAATATGATAACACTCAAATAAAATAGGCTTAACAAAATTAAGCTAAATTAATCCAAACCTTAAAGTTGCACAGAATGAAGTGTTTGAATCTTATTTAAATTAATAAATGATTAAATAAAGTGCAGCAGGAGTGAACCAGAGTTTGTCAGACTGTTTTTAAACGGAGACAGTTGATCATCTGGGCCTCATCCTCAGCTCAGCTGTAGAGAAATCAGGATCAGCAGTTTCAACAGGAATATCTGAACGCCTTCATGATCCATCATCCAATTGTTTCTGAGAAATCTCCTTTAAACTGCCATAAATCAGAACATCAGAGCAGCGACATGAATAAGAACCAGCGTTAGAGCCACCACCTCACTGAAGATTCAAGCAACCTCAGGTTTGCAGCAGAACCTCTTCAGATTATTCCTGTCTGACATTTTAAACCAGTTCAACATCCAGTGAAGTCTAAACTGGACTCACTGGGACCAATGGCCAGCATTCATCTTTCCCTTTATGGTTCTTTATTTTGGCTTTTCTGTGAACAGGAAGTTAGATCTCACCACATCCTGCTGCTGATCCCAGCAACAGAAAATGTTTGTTTTGTATTTTTCTGTTTTAATTAGCAGTTTGAATAAGATGTGAGCAGATCCTCAGACAAACAGCCTGAGGATCTAAAGCAGCTTCATAATTAAATGTCCGTGTTGGTGAGAAATGGTTTCTCCGATCAGACCTAATCCTCCTGCGCTGCTCTCAGGAGCTCGCTGCTCCTCCGCCTGCCGTTCGTTTATAATTAGAGCTGTGCTCAGATCTGCACTCCGCTCCACGCCGCCGCAGAGATAAATGTCATCTGCTGCACATGCAGCGGCGCCGCATTAAAACCTTTCCTCTGGTGGCTCCGCCACAAAACCACCTTTCAGTTCAGATTAATGTGAACAATAGTCATTTAAAGCTCAAACTAATTAAACTAATGCAAAATATGAACATATTCATGCAAATATGCTGAAAACATTTGTATTATGAGCAAAAATGTATTTTTAATAAATGTTTTTCCTGTATGTTAGACATATATATCCATTTAAAATGAAATAGGACAACAGATATTTTACTGGGTTTGGTTTTAGAAATAGAAGTTCCTTTATTGTCACACAGTGGCAATCAAAGCAAGTAAATTCACACAAAGACAAAAAATAAAATATTTAAAAACAGAATGAAAAATAACGTGCGTTACAGTAAAGGGAAATCCTTAAAAATGTTCCGTGAGAAAGCTAATTATTTGACTCCTAAGTAAATATTTAGTGTTTTTTTATATAAATGTTTGAATAACGTGGTGAAAATATTTAGTATCAACCTAAATATGTAGATAAGGTGTAGCAAACGAGCAGGTTTAATATTTGACTTGGAAATAAAATGTTAACTTTATAACTAAATAGTTCATTCACAAGCCAAATGTCTTGCTGGCTTTACAGCTTGTGAAATATTTAGTTTGGAATTGTGATTTTTACAAATGTATGACAAACAAGACGAAAGTATCTGAAAAATGAACACCCATTTATTTTGCCTGGCAGCCTGAATAATCTAAATGATTTTGACTTAGCTTAGTTTATATTGTTATAGTTTATTTGAACCTTATTAGTTTTGTCTTTGTTTAGATCAGATTTGCTGATCTGGCTGATTGAAAGGAGGAAGATCCACATCAGAGCTCCTGCTCTGTGATTTGCTCATCGATTCTGTCTCTGTCTGGTTCTGAAGGGATTCTGTGTCTCTGATTAATAAAGTGGGCAAACTGTTTGCCATAGAGGCCTCAGAGGTTCAGCAGGTTCTGGAGGTTTTTATTGAGACAGTGAGCCGGTCGTGTCCTCCGTGACCCGGTTCGTCTGACTGAGAGAACTCTGCTTCATCCAGACTGATTAATCGGATCTCGTCTGATCCCTGGAAGACAAAGTGCAGAAGTCCTGACAGGAAGAGTCGGCGGCGGTCTGAGGATCTGCCCTGGGGGGGGAATCCTGGGCAGCAGGCCGGCGCTCTGCGCTGCAGCAGATCGGCTCCATTAATCAGCCGCCGCTCGGCTTCACCGGCTGTTTTCTGTCCTGATTGCTGCGATGGGATCGGGTTTTCCTGCTCGGCGCTCTGCAGCATTCAGAAACAGAAAATCATTTCTCATATTTCCAGAACCAGGCCTGTCACGATAACAAATGTTGCCGAACGATAAATTTCCCCAGAAGTGATGGTGATAAACGATAATGTAGATGTTTTGAGACCGTTTTCTAGTAGTCTAATATAATGATAATGGCACATATTGATCCTCACAGATCAATAAACTTTAAATACTAATGAACATTTAAAACTGGAAGACATTTTTAAAGTCCAAAGTAAATAAAACAACAAATAAAATGAATTATGAAGTCTCAAAAAAAGGTTTAGTTGAGACCAAAACATCAGACTGAAAACTTTCATCATCTAGTTTTTGCTGGAAAGAGAAATCCAATTAATTGTGCAAATGGAAATGACTAAACATGTTTTAATTTGTCATGCAGTTGAGATGCAACATTACCGTTCAAACTGCGGAGGCTTTGAAAACTATCAAATGTGACTTAATTCCACATTTGGAATGAAATAGATCTGAGTTTTTCTGTAGTTTTGGGTGAAAATATCAGAATCAGCTGTTAAATTGTGGTGTTTGTGTCACATACTGCTGCTGTTGGATCCGTTAGATTGAGGTGATTTGGGTTTTTTCTCAGCTTTTTGTGGGTTTAATCAGGTCAGAGATATAAATGTGATTAAAGTTTAAAATCTGTTCATTAAAGTTTGTTTACTGCTGCGCGAACATGAGCCACAGATTTATTTCATTTGCACGGCGCTGAATGTTTTCTTTCATTAAACGTTCCTATAAACATGATTATAACATGAGATGCTGAAGATAAAAAACCTGATGAAACATTAATAACAAGAGTTTAATCAGGGAGAAATTAATGAAAAAAAACACAAAAATGCTGACAGTTTTATGTCAATACTGGGTTATGTAGAAATATTAAAATTACTACAAAATTAAAGTAAAATGTTTAGATGCTTTTCTCTTTTCAGTTTTTATTTATACAGATTATTTCCATATTTTTAGTTGCAGCATGTTTACATCTATATTTGTAGATTTACGACACCATCATTAACTTTTTCAGCTTAATAATCTGTTTTAAGTAAAACTGTTAGGGTTTTTTTAGCTGTGATAGTAAACGTCTGGCTCACCTCGTGTTGCACGGTGCTGAAAACCTGAGGATGTCCCTGGCTGGAAGTGACTTTTAAAGAGAAAGAAAACAGGAAGACGCTCCAGAACTTGAGCTATCTGTGGATTTCGGATCGATTAATGGATCCATGTGAATCAGATTTTCTTTGACTCAGAAGGAAAAACCCTTCGGTTGTTTTCTGATCCGAGTTTCTGCAGCAGGAGGAAGATTTTATTGAGGTTTATGGAGATCATAATGAGTTTTTGTGTTTTATTGTGATGGTTTCTCTCCAGTTAGAAACATTTTAATAAACCTGCTTGTTTTTCTTCAGACCAGGAAAGTTTCAACTGCTTGTTTCTGTTTCACATTATTTCTCAGCGTTAGTGTCTCTCAGACAGCATTTTGTGTTTTCCAGCCACATACTGAAGATTTTTAGTACAATCAAGTACAAATGTTACCTTCACTTGTTATAAAAATGCTGTGCATGTCAAATATGACTTTGAAAGTTGACTTTGTGTTTAACGCCGTTTGTGCTTCAGTCTCTTTAAAAACGTGTTTGAATTTTTCCAAACATGGTTCTGTCCATCATGGTCCAGCTTGTCTGCTTGCTGGACGTCCATTCATGTCTCTGCAGGATGATGGATTTCTGATGGTTCGTAGTTGACCTTTTAACCCTTCCCTGACATTTCCCCTCCTTCCGGTCGTGTCTCCCAGACGTGGCTGAAGAACTACGGCTACCTGCTGCCTCATGACGTCAGGACGTCGGACCTGCGGCAGGAGAAGGCCATGCAGTCCGCCGTGGCGGCCATGCAGCGTTTCTACGGGATCCCGGTGACGGGAGTCCTGGACGAAACGACCATAGAGTGAGTCACGTTGTGTTTTCATGACAAATGGGATCAAATCTTTATCTATATTCCACTAATGTCGAAAAAATGCAATTTTGCAATTACATTCTTTCCGTTAAATAAGAAATTAGATAAAGATGATGCATTTTAATTGGGGTGTTTCCATTCAAATAAATTTAATTTTGTAATTTCACTTTGCGCAGCTCTGTGGTTCCTGGACCGCAGCTGCTGATTGTTGCTGAATCAGATGTTAATATTCTGTCCCGTCCTGCTCTGAGCCAAAGCTGCGCCTGTGTCCAGGTGGATGCGCCGGCCTCGCTGCGGCGTCCCCGACCATCCTCACACCAGCCGGCGCCAGAGGAACAAACGCTACGCGCTGACGGGGCAGAAATGGAGGGAGAAGAGGATCAGCTACAGGTAACGCAATAAGCAATTCATCAATTCATCAATTCATCACATGGTGAATGAAAACCAGTTCAAAAATTTAAAACATGAAAAAACTGGAAGACAAAAGTCTTTAGTCTGGTGCTTTGGTCTCAACTTAACATTTTATTGAAGATCAATTTTGTCTACAGAGACTTCATAATTCATTTTATTTGTTGTTTTATTCATTTAAAATGACTTACAGCTCCAGTCTTAAATGTCCACTAGAATTTAGGAGAATGCTTTAATTCACTTTTACCATTTTATTACTTCCAGATGAAAACATTATCGTTCATCACAATTAATTTATCATCCACCAAAATTTATTATTGTGATAATAACACTTTATTATTATTATTGTGCTGTTGACCAGAGTGTCCCACGGTACCCTGAACGCACCATTCTCTGCCTGCTGGCTCTCTGCACAGGTGTAAAAAGACCCTAAAGCAGATTAGGAAACTCCCAGGAGACACTGAACAGAACCGACATGGCTCCACCAAACGTTATTAGAAATCTAGCCAAAAGAATCTGAGTGTTCTCCTGCAGCTTCTCCTTGTTTTTGTGACTTAAACAGCATCAGCTGGTGAATAAAGCGACTGATGAGGCAGTCTGCTGAGGATCGAAGCCCGGCCCAGTGGGACCGGCACCGGGCTTTTAGGCAGAACCGACACCCATAAATACTCCCATCCTTCCTGAAAGCCCTCAAGGCTCAGAGCCAGAGACAGTTTATATTAAATAAACATACAGCAGTAAACCAGGCTGTGACGCAGAAAGGAAACTATTAAGACAGATGAATTAATAATTTACTCCTAGTGCTACGTTTCAGAAGGAAATAATAATAATAGTAGAGGGGGGACTTGATTAAAGAGTTTAATCGAGTTAATTGAACCATCTGTAATTAATCAAAAAACTAAATATTGACAAAATAAGTAACATTTTCAGTTAAACAACTATTTGCTGCTAAATAGCCATATGAGCATAAGAAATGTATTTTTACTTTTTATTTTGCATTGTGCATATTTTCCTGCATCATGAGGACATTTATTTTGGAAGTTTGTGGGTAGGAACTAATATCAGGGATGTTGGTTCCAGTGGTGCACCTGAGAGAGACGCGCCTTCTGGTGCCGCATGGGGAGGTTAGCACATGGCAGCAGAAAGTTAGATGAAAATAGTTTAATGAATGCTGAAAATAATAAACCGTATTCACGAGGGAACGTTTGCTGGTAATTTTACCAGAGTCCTTCTTAAAGCAGCTCCTGTAATGAGCCCAGCAGTTCCTCCGGCTGTTTGCTAATTCCTGCTGGCTAGTCTGAAGGAGCTGAGTGTGGGAGGAACTGCGTTTTGAAGGCGGGGCTACGCCTACCCAGGCATTGTGAAGGATTTGTCAAACATGCATGAAAGAATCGAAGCGACACTCCAGGTTTGTTTCTGGTTAGAGGATCAAATTTTGTCAAGATCAAAATGTCAAGCTTGATGCTGGCCCTTTAAATTTATTGTTGTCAAGGGGAAATCTCACTCTAAACTAAAAATCTCCCAGGCAACATGATCTGTTATTGGACCGCATCAATCCCACTCCGCCTCGCCTCGTCCCGCATGGCGCTCCATCGGGTTAGTGAAAATTACCACCTTCCCGCGGGACACTGAAGGCATCCCTGCGGCGCTGCTTCCCACTCTGCAGAGTCAGCTCCGATTACTGGCTGCTCTGGGTCTCCTCCTCCTGCTTCACCTCCCATCAGTCCAAACGGGCCTGCTGGCTCCGATCATTTCAAATCCGATTGCTCGTCTTCTGAGGCGCAGAAGCCCGGTCTCTTTCAACGAGGCTCCTTCTGAGGCGTTTGGTGACAGTTTGAAGGATGCTGGCTGCATCGGATCGTTTAGCATACATAAAGTATTTATTCCCACCTGCTGAGTTTTGTTCCAGTTTCTCCTTCATCCGCTGACTCCTGTGGGAGTTTTTCGGTGCTTGTTCGTCTTGGCGGAGCTGCAGGTTCCTGTAAATCCCTCTTCATGTTCTGAGAGCACAAAGCCAAACACACATCCGGAGCCGAAACGAGAGAAAATGATGTTTCCAGTTGACAACAGAGGCTGAGCGTATGGAGGACCAACACTGACATGATTTAAAATAAATAGTTTTTCCTTTTTTTATGCGTTTTTGTCAAACTTATTTGTATAGAAATACAAACATATAAAAGTTGAACGTCCATCACAATGGACATTAAGACGACTGTGGCTGTCGGAAGGTTGTAGGTTCGGTTCCAGCTTCCTCCTGCCACGTGTCAATGTGTCTGTGAGCAAGGCACTTAACCTCAAATTGCCTACCGGTGTGTGAATGTGTTTGTGAGCAAATGTGTGAATGTGACTCCAGTGGAAACGCTTTGAGTGGCCAAAATGACTGGAAAAGCTTGATAAGTTCAGTCCATTTAACAGCAACGTTTAATTATTTAGTGTCACCATGCAAAGAAAAAACGTATCTTTAGCGTTTCGCAGCTTATTTGTGGTTTCACAAGTCATTTATTTTATTTCATTGTTTTATGATTTTTATGAGCATGAGCACTGACTGTTGAATTGCTTGTAAAATAAAATGTTTTTTTCTGTATTTTAGTGCTGAAGTGAAAAGTATTATTTTTTTGCTACATTGATAAAAATCAGTTCTGAAGGCGTTAATTAGATTTATGGTGAATTTAGGTTTTCATCTGAAACATCATCAGAAATCTGCTGAGCTTCTTCAGGACCTTTTCCTGCAGCTCCTTCCTTTCCATCCCTCCATCCCTCCATCCGTCTCCTTCTCCAGCCGTTTTCTGTGAGTTTCTGAGACGAGCGATAAAAGTGAATAAAAATGTACAGCACGTTCCTTCTCCTGCAATTACTCTGTAACGACCTTTCTGGCTCGTTTATCTGCAGCTGCGCGCATCAGGCTGCACATTAACCGAGCTGCAGCCTCAGATGGAAACATCAGCAGATCAGAAAGAAATTATTCAACTCAAAAACACAGATTGGGATCATAATTGTCCCGTCTGCTCAGCGGTGGAGCCGAAGCGTTTCAGTTATCTGTTCTGCAGAGTTCTGGCCAAGCATTTCTTTTCTGTTAAGTAGCTTTTATCAGTTTTCCCAAACTTTTTCTAAGAGTTTATTTTTATTATTATCAAATAACGGTCATTCATTTAACCAGGTTAAATGAATAAAATAAAAACAGACACGTTTATAATTTTATTTTATCTTTTTCCATTGTTTGAACTCTATTTTTCCTAAGAAGTTGCCAAACATTCACACATTGATGTTTTTTCTTTATTTTCTTCAGCATTTGTGGGATTTAATATATTTACTATATTTGTCTGTCTGGTACATTTTAATTTAATGTGATATTTTTATGTAATTTATTTACATTTAAATGTTTAATGTATTTTTTTGTTTAATTTTAAGTTTTTATTATAATTATTTATGTTTTTTATTTTGTTAACTAAACTTTGCACTTCCTGTCCTCTGATTGGTCCGTTTTCAGGCTGAAGTGACTCCTGTCAGAAAAATACTAAAACTAATTTCCTCTGCTCCCCAGAATATCGAACTACACCCCCAAGGTGGGGGAGAAGGAGACGCACCGAGCGATCCGCCAAGCCTTCAACGTGTGGCAGGCTGTCACTCCGCTCTCCTTCCAGGTCAGAAACCAGCAGCTTCTCCTCATCTCCACCTTTCATTGTCATAAAAACATTGACTGTTGAGTTTTCCTCCCTCTGATCCAATCAGGAGGTCCCGAACTCAGACGTGGAGAGTGACGGGAAAGACGCCGACATCATCATCTTCTTCGCCTCTGGTTTCCATGGCGACAGCTCTCCGTTTGATGGCGAGGGGGGATTCCTGGCCCACGCCTACTTCCCGGGCGCCGGCATTGGAGGAGACACCCACTTCGACTCTGACGAGCCGTGGACGCTGGGAAACGCCAACCATGACGGTGAGAGCCGCCGCCAGGGGTCACAGAGGTCACATCTGGTTTTTAATAGTTTTCATGAACTGTTCTACATCTGGGAGTCATTTAATGTTTCATTTAAATTAGTTTTTGGTTTAAGTTTTTATTCTATTCTCATTAAAATGTTCAGTTTAATTTGTTTTTATATTTTGTTTATTTTAATTGAAATCCTTAATTTACTTGTTTTATTTTAATTCATTATTAATTTTTATTTAAAAGTCTCATATGAACTACATTTTTATTTCAGTTTGATTGTTTATTTACTTATTGAAACGGTATTGAATTGAAATGTTCACATTGGTTCTGATCAGTTTATTATTACCTGATTCATTTTTCCTCTGAAATCCTGCGGAGGCAGCAAAGTGTTTCGTTTTTCCACCATGGTTGTGTCTTCTGAACATTTGAGGCTAGAATTTCATTATTTTTAATCCACTTCTTCAGGTTTCTGGAAAAACTTCATGGAAACAAAGTTAACAGTTTAAAATGGCAGCAAACGAAAACCAAAAACTTTCTCTGAGTTTCATTGAGACACATTTAAATGTGTTTCTGCTTTCCCTAAAAGCTCTTCAACCTGCAATGCTCAGTCTGTCTCTATCACACACACACACACACACGCACGCACGCACGCACGCACGCACGCACGCACGCACGCACGCACGCACGCACGCACGCACACACACACACACACACACACACACACACACACACACACTCATGCGTGGTGTAATTGAAAGATTAGCGAGCAGATAGCGCAGTGTGATTCATGCTATCCGCTTCAGAAGGACAAACGGGACACATTTTTCACTTTGGATTAAAACTTCATGTTCCCACCTGAGTCTGGTGACGTTTGTTATTAACCTGCAGGACAAAACTGAGGGCAAAGCAACCCACAGGAACCAGAACCGCTCCCTCCTTCCTTTTGTAGAAACAAATAGAAATTCATCAAGAGGTGTTTACTTCATACAACTATCAACAAAGACATTTTATTTATTATATTTTATTTATTTGGTAGACATAAATAATTTTTTTAACCTGTTCTTTAAAATACAACAGAGTTTACAAAATATGAAAATTAAATTTGTGCAAACAGCAGAAATATTATTCAAGCGAGGAAAACTGTTCACACTCTGGGAACCTTTTCATTTAGTTTGTTTAATCTCCAGGTCAACCATTCAGCAGTGCAAAACGCCTGGGTGGACTTAGCTCCGCCTCTGAGGCGCAGCTCCTCCTTGAACAGGCAAACTAAGCCACAGCATTTTAATTTGTTTATTGTGAATAAAATTATTATTAAATCTGATTTGACATTTTCAACAGAAATGATTTGAAAGATTCCACATTTTGTAAAACCATAATCTTCACTTTTAGATGACTGTGTTGCCGTAGTTACGACCTGATGCTTCGGGTGGATCATAAATGTAAATAAAACTGAATAGAATTGAAAGTAAAATGCAGGCTTGAGACAACAGGAAGTGATGCATTCAAGGGTCTGAGCAGAAAGTCGGAGTCCAGGGAGCTGAAGGAGCCGTAATCTTCAAACGCATCAAGAAGAGCAGAAAATTATGGGCTGTAATTAGGTTCAGGCAGAGTGGAACCGATTAGAGAGCTCATAAAGTGTTTGAGTCTCAGCTCCTCCATCAGACGGCTGGAAGTTATTAATTATCTGGCAGCAGCTCAGGGTCCAGATTATCTAATCCCACATAGGTTCAGAACGGGCCGGGCCGCCGTTCTCCCTCAGAACCAGCAGGACAAGAAGGAAAGAGGTTCAGATGGAAAATGATCCACCTCTTCACTGTAGAAATTCACACATCAGGATTAAATGCAGCATTTTCTCAGATGCAAAAGCCGCAGTGATGCGAACATCATGCAGGAGAAGGAGGATTAATGCAACATTAGCAATTATATAAGATCCATGTTTAAACAATAAATTATGGGATGTTTCTGGGTATCACGGCTCAACAATCATTAACCGTTTCCTGCTTCATATCAAGTGCATGAAGGAGTGAGAGCATTAACCTGTTAAACCTTTAGTTGCTGTTAAATTATCTAATTAACATGGATTATTTTCTCTGTTCAGATCAGAACATTTTTTATGGATGTTTCTCTAATTGGAGAATAAAGTCTAAAGTAGAAAAAGGTCAAGCAAGTTTATACTTCTGGTTATGGAAATATGTATTGTATGGAAGTGTACTATCAAAATAAAAGAGACTGGTGCATCAGTGTTGCTGTAGATTCATTTTAAACATCCCACATTTTGCCTTTAAAACAGCTCATTCTTTGTTTTCTGTTTAAATGTTGGCCAAGAAAAGGGGAAAAGAAACGATGATGAAGAGATTACAGGAAGTTATTCTAAAGCAGGTGTTTATGAAGAGGTTTGGAAAACCCAGCTTTTATTTTGGAAGTCCATTTCCTGTTATCAGCAGGTGAATTTAGCATATAACTTAAATATAGGAGATGATGTGGGACACTTTACACATTATTATTATTAGTGGAAAATGCGTTAACCTTCTTGTTTAACTGCTGCTCAGCAGGATTCCTACAACAAATATGAAGATGTTTCTCTTCTCCAGATCCAACATGTTTGCTGCTTCATGAGATCTGAATAATTTATTCTCCCACAGATTATATATTTAAGGATGCAGTGTGTTCGTTTGGGACTGGTATTACTTTGAAGAGAAGAGCGATAGAAACAGATTTCACTGTAAATTTAACAAACCGGCTGTAGATCAGCGGACGCCATCTTTGATTTTCTGCCGTCTTTCTCTCCAGGTAATGACTTGTTCCTGGTGGCGGTGCATGAACTAGGCCACGCTTTGGGTTTGGAGCACTCCAACGACCCCAGCGCCATCATGGCTCCCTTCTATCAGTACATGGACACGCACAACTTCAAGCTGCCGATGGACGACCTGCAGGGCATTCAGAAAATCTACGGTGAGGAAACGCGACACAAGTAGCGAAATATTTGACTGGAAGGACGAAGCGGGACTCTGAGGTGTTCATGAACACAACATTTCACTCTGAATCTAAAAGCAAAAACGTGCAAAAGTCAAAACAGCAAACTGAATTATTAATGCCGGAGCCCAGAGAGCAGCTGAATTATGGAGAATATTCGGCAGCCGGGCTCCGTTTGAAGGATGAAAACGGATCGGAACCAGCAGCTTCTGCCTGGAAAACGTGTTTACACCAGAGACACAAAGACGGCTGCCGTCTTCATCAGCTCTGACTCTGATTTCTGTCTGCAAACGAGGAATTATCGGCATGGCGCCGGTGGAAATGTGGGGAAAAATGTATTTATTAGACACAAAGAGAAGGAGGAGAAATGTCTGTCGGGTCAGATTTCCCCTTATTCATTTCAATGAGCAGAGCCTGAAAAAAAACTGATTATCACCTTAAAG